TCAAAGAAAATAATTTATTGTACAGAAAGAGAAGGATAATCTGAGTTTGCTGCAACGTTGTGAATCCTAATATTTGCATCAGTGCTAGGTCAGATGCGAAAATGGACAATATCGATCCACTCCAAATGGACAATATCCTCCCCCACAAAGGGTCAAAATGTTGAATAATTATGGCTTTTGTAAAATGTGATGTTATAGTTCGATTTTCTTCAAATTACACACATCACAATATTTTTAGTAACCCAAAGTCTGGTGTGAAGATGGAATATATCGGTCCAATCCTTCCGGTACCTCCCCCACAAAGGGCAAACATTTTGAATATTCATGAAGCTCATAAAGCACGAAACTAACATCCGATTCAAATCAGACATCGCACATCTGAATATTTCCAAGATCTGTTACAAATATTATAAAGATCGGACCATTCCTTGTGGTACCTTCCCCACAAAGTGACAATGTTTTGAATAACCAAAACGATTATAAAATTCGAAATAAGCATCCGGCTCTCTTCATATATCACTCATCCCATTATTTCTACTAAACCAAGATCTGCTGTGAAGATGGGATATATCGGGTCACTTCTTCTGGTACCTCCCCCACAAAGGGTCAAAATTTTAAATACCCATGAAGCTCATAAAATGCGAAATTAACATCCAGCCCTATTCAGACTTGATACATCTCAATATGATAGAGATCGAACCATTCCTTCTGGTATCTCGCTCCCCCTCACCCCACGAACGGTCCAAGTTTTCAATAACCAAAACTATTTATTGTGCAGATGGAATATATAGGTCCCCTCCCTGGTCATCTGGTACACTCCCCACAAAGGGTCAAAGGTTTTAAATATCTATGGAGCTCATATTATGCGAAATCAACAGCCGATTTCATTCTGACTTGGTATATCTGATCAATACCAAGATTTATTATAAATATGATAGAGATCGGACCATTTCTTCTGATACCTCCCCTACATAGGGTTCAAAATTCTGAAAAACAAAACGCTCAAAGAAAGTGAAATAAGCATCCAACTCTCCTCAAATTTCACACCTACAAACGTTTTCGATAACACAAAGTCTGTCGTGTAGATGATATATATCTGCGAACCCCTTCTGGTACCTCGTCCACAAAGGGTCACAATTTTTAATACTTTTATCAGTCAAAACGAAACATCAGTCATAACGAAACAAGTCCGACATTCTTTACAACTTGCTATACCTAAATATTTCTCTCAACCAGAAACCTGAGATGAATTATGAAATTGGTGATATTGCATAAAATTGGATATAAATGTTATATTTTCTTTTAATGTTGCCCATGCCAATATTTGTATCTGTATTTGTAAAATGTGAAATTGAATACTTCAGCCGACTATATCTTGTACCTAACGCGCGTTTTATCATTTTCTAAAAATGATCACATATATCATATAAAGTGAAGGAAGTAACCAATATAATCCAAGCCTGGCACGTCCCAATATTTATGTCATATTTATTTTGTTCCGCTACGAAATGGTCAATATTGGCCCATTCCTCCGGAACCTACTCCACAAAGGGCCAAAAATTTCAATTATCATAACATGAGTCAAAATATATTTAAGTAATCGAATATTGGCTGAGGGTACACATCTGTCGGCAAAACCGACTGAAATTTTTTTTTTTTAGAGTTGCACACTTTCGTTCACTGCATAGATCCCGTTTCTTAAGTATAGAGGAACTAGTTAATTCATATACTTATTTAGGCTTTATAATGTTTTATATCTTCGTTATCGCTTTTATATAACTGTATAATCGTTTGAAAAGACGCCTATTAGCTAAGTCTTTATTGGAAACAATAAACTACTCGTAGACAAAACGTAGTGCTCAAAATGTCTAATAAAAATTGTCTTAAACAAATTCCTAAAATATAATCTCGCAACTAATCTGAATACCAAATTCAAATCAGAAATATTTCGTTTTGTATTGATAATATCAGACAATTTGAATATCCTTCCTTCTTCCTCCTTCCATAAACGCCAGTGCAGCACCGTACATCGATTGCGCTGGACACTTTGAGAATTTTTCCGCTTCTGTGTTGAGATTTTTATGAATCATTTGATGAAGACTGTTCTTGTTGTTGTTATTACTGCTGCTGTTGTTGGAAATGCTAATCATTTGTTTTTTTATGCAAATAAGCCATTGCTCTTTATCAGCAGTAGTTGTGGGATCACCATCATCACCACTGGCGGCGGCATCAATGCGATTGTTCGTCGTCATAATCTTCATTATGGAAATATTTCCAATGGAAATAGAGTGAGGGTGTCCGACGGCATGTTGTCAATTCCGCTGTGTGTGTGTGTCTGTCTGTCGGATGATGCCAATGGATGGATGGATGGCTAAACAAGTTGAAATAATTAGACAGGTTGATTCTAATGCTAATGCATTAATCCACTCACAGTCTGAATAGGCAGTTGGTGTTTTCTATAGGCATTGAGAAGCACAGCCACAGTCTGCGGGACCAGTCATAACTTGGATTACACAGACAGACGATTACATGATGCTACAAAATTTTAAACAAATGCATTTTCAAATGTCATGCGAACTTTATAAAAGAAGGCAGTGTAAAAAATCTGTGGGTGTTTTGTCAAAGCTTGAGGTTATGATAAAAATAAAAGTGGAGTTATGTTAAAAGTAAAATTTGAGGTTATGTTAATAATAAAAACAATCAAAAGAGCTGTAAGTTCGGCCGGCCCGATCTTTGAATACCCTCCACCATTTGGAACGAATTTGGCAATTTTCAAAAAAATAAAATACGTTAAAAATTTCTTTAAAATCGTAAAAATACCGAATGTAGCCCTTATATTAGGGTCTATGCGACGATGTAGTCCTGCGTGGGCAAATTTTGTCAAAAGCCATTACGAAACTTGAAAAAAAAAATCGTTGAATAATGGCGTTAAAATCATCAAAGTACCGAATATCGGGAGGTACCGTTATATGGGGGCTATATGACCACATGGACTTGCATAGGCAATTTTCTGTCATAGGCTGTAGTACCCTTTACGAACTTTAATTGCCAAATTAAAAAAAAAAAATCCGGTGACTAATGGGGCTGAAATCATCAAAATACCGAATAAAGGTGCCCTTATATGGGGGCTATATGAAGGCGTGGACCTGCACGGACAATTTTCTGTCATAGGCTGTAGTATCCATTACGAACTTCAAATAACAAATGAAACATTTCCGGTGCATAATGTCGCTAAATTCATCAAAATACCAAAAAAGGGAGGTACCGTTATATGGAGGCTACACGAAGATGTGGACCTGCACAAACAATTTTCTGTCATAGGCAGTAGTACCCATTACGAACTTTAAATGCGGAATTTTAAAGAATTCCGGTAAATAATGTCGCTAAAATCATCAAATAACCGAAAAAAGGGAGGTACCGTTATATGGAGGCTACACGAAGGCGTGGACCCGCACAGACAATTTTCTGTCATAGGCTGTAGCATCCGTTACGAACTTCAAATACCAAATTTGAAACAATTTTTGTGAATAATGTCGCTAAAATCACCAAAATACCGAAAAAGGGAGGCATCGTTATATGGAGGCTACACGAAGACTTGAACCTGCACAGACAATTTTCTGTCATAGGCTGTAGTATCCATTATGAACTTCAGATATCAAATTTGAAACATTTCCGGTTCATAATGTCGCTTAAATCGCCAAAATACCGAAAAAATGGGAGGTACCGTTATATGGAGGCTACACGAAGACGTGGACCTGCACAGACAATTTTCTGTCATAGGCTGTAGCATCCGTTACGAACTTCAAATACCAAATTTGAAACAATTCTGGTGAATAATAGCGCTAAAATCATCAAAATGCCAAAAAAGGGAGGTATGATTGTATTGGGGCTATACCAAAACGAGGACTTACATGACCCATTTTCAATACCAAAAGACCTGAAAACATAATATACATTTGAGTAAAATTGTATCAACCTAATTCATTTCGTTCGGAAGCTAGAGTGATTTCCACAAATGGACAGACTACCGGACATCGCTAAATTGACTTTGTGGGGTCTAAAATATATATTTCGAGGTGTTACAAACGGAGTGACAAACATGATGTATCCTCCATACTATGGTAGAGGGTATAAAAAGTGGCTCCCCAGCTATATTAATATTGCAAACATTATAAGCTCTTCTTTTATTATTTACTTGTTAATCAGAACAATCGAACAAACAAAAGGAACGATTAAAAATTAAAAAATTCAATAAAATGTTTATAAAGCCAAAGGAAAAATTGAAATCGTTGAACTAGTTCCACATAAGCAAAAGAAGAAGGTGCTTGCTCCAATCAGTGAACGAAATTGTTCAACTCCATTCGAAAGCTCTTTAAACATCGCCCTCTAGACAATAAAACCTCACTGATATTGTCTTACAAATCTAAGTAGAACTTTTTCAAAATTTGTTAAATATTTTATTGTAGCCTAGTGTAATGGTGGCCATACAATGTGTTGGCATTAACTAATCCATTACGAATTTATGACAACGTCACACCAAGTGAATATCTACAACCGTTCATAATACCGACAGATTATGGTCTTAACATGGCAAACCTTGTTAATTTATACTTTGTTTTTGCTATTTATTAAACCAAACAACAACAAATAGTAATGTTTATATAATTTATATTATTTAAATCACCCTAACAACTCCTCCCACTCCTCAGAATATTACAAAAAAAAGAAATACAAATAAATATTTATTTATTCAAAAGGGCGTTAATAGTCTTAAGCCTATAATTTTAAACATTTACACTTTGTTTATTCTGTGATTATCGAATGCCGCAGATAATTTATTCGCAATGAAATTTGTAAAATTTGTTTATGGAAAAGTTTATTTAAGTAATTAGTAATTATTTTTTGTATGTATGAGTGATTGAGTGTTTTTTATAAAGTAAATATTTATTGTAGACATCATTGATTAATGTTTTTTTCTTTTCACATTTATCTATTTACAGACCCTGGACCATGCATACTTCCAGCGGTGATGATGAGGCCTCCAAGGACCCTCGCATAATAGGTGATCAGGATTTTAGTCAACAGTATACAGAAAATGATTTTGAAGGTAAGCTAAAGTTTTATTAAATTTACTTCGATACAGAAATCTAAAAATAACTTTATTAGAAAAGGTATTATTTATTGATGATCTATAAGGTTATGAAATGAAAGTTATTAAACCGACAAAAACAAATTATAGAATGTATACCCAAAATAGTTGGAGGACCTTATGATCATATTCAAAAAGTTAATCCAAAATAAACTAAAAAGAATTGCCGAAAATTACATTTTGGCGCCCAATTTGTTAGCGATAGTTTTGATTTATTCCACAAATTATTCGGGTTGAACTTCATCCTTTATGCAAAATATTATCGATGAGGCACATTTGAAACATCGTTTCATGTTTTGGTATTGACGTCATATAATGTTAAGCCATGTTTCAAATATTTCTCAGGGTTTTGAAATTAAATTGACCATAACTTAGTAGTATTTGGGGTTCTCCCAACGTTATGTATTTTGAAGGGGTTGACCACACTGGACTTAGATCCCGTACGAAATCGTTCCACGTCCTATATGAAATATTTGAAAAATGTTGCCAAGCCCTTTAAATGACTTAAAGCAGGGGGTACCTATGGGCCTACATTGAAATTTACTGCGAAGAGATGGTCTACGCCGTGCCATACAAGCCAAGACTTTAGAAATCGCTAAACCAGTTGATATAGTTTTATAAAAACAAGTAAAACAATATCAGTCGGTTTTTCCGACAGTTGTATACCTCATATCAGATTTCTGGTTGAGAGAAATATTTAGGTATAGCAATATTTAGGTAAGCAAGTTGTAAAGAATCGCCGACTTGTTTCGCAAGCTATGACAGATCTGAGCATTGAAAATTGTGACCCCTTATGTGAAATACTAGAAGGGGTTGGCCGATATATATCATCTTCACAATAGATCTTGTGTTAGCAAAAATATTTGGATGAGTGACATTTGAAGAGAGTTGGATGCTTATTAAGATTTCTTTGAACGTTTTGTTTTTCAAAATCTTGAATCCTATGTGGGGAGGAACCAGATACCAGGAATGGTCCGATCTCTACAATCTTTATAAGAGATCTTGTATTGGCGGAAAAATTTAGATGTACCAAGTCTGAATGGAATCGGATGTTAATTTCGCGTTTTATGAGCTTCCTGGATACTCAAAATTTAGATCCTTTGTGCGGGAGGTACCAGACCTTGAGTTAATAAGAATATAGTGTTATGTGTAATTTGAAGAGAACCGGATGCTTGTTTCGGATTTTATGATCGCTTTGGTTATTCAAAACTTTGACTCTTTGTGGGGGGAGATACCAGAAGGAATGGTCGAATCTCTACCATCTTTATAACAGATCTTGGGTTAACAAAAATTTTGTGATGTGTGTTAATTGAAGACAATCGGCCGCTTACATCACATTTTATAAGAGTTATAAGGAGGTGGACCGATTTTGCCAATCTCCGAACTCGATCTAAGTTTGACAAAAATATTACGATGTACCAAGTTTAGATCATATCGGATACTCCCTATGAGAGTTATCGCACCAGCCAGCCAGACAAACGGTCATCGCTAGATCGACTCCAAATGTCCTGAAACGGATTTGGTCCAAAGAGACCTAGCGTCTAAAACCGATGAGGCACGTTTTGGCCGTATCAAATGATATATATACCCTCCTAGCTATATGGCTGAGGGTATAAAAATATACCTATATTGAAAAATGTTTGTAAGTACATTTTTTGGATCATAAGAATTCAAAATATCAAAAATTGGCAAACTTAGGTGTAAAATATGGCTAAAACGTAAAAAATACATGAAATCAGGGGGTTTCCTTATGCAGGGGCTCTATACCAAAAAATGGATCCAATGACCCATTTTTATATAAGTGTTCACAGGTCTTTAGTAAATATTGCGAAATTTATCCCTTTGTATATAGTTATACCAACAATCTAAAAAAATGCACTAAGAACCCATAACTTTTCTGGGGTTTAGATATAAAAATCGAGTACTATCCAATCTACTTGGAATTTTCAGCAATACAGACTGACTTTGGATATTGAAATTATAAGAAAATTTGCAGGGATTTCGAAAAAAGCCGAATTTGTCGAGAATAAAAAAGGTTTTTTATAAACTAAAAAATGATAATATTTTGAGGTATATATTAGGTATTAGGTATTCAAGTTTCTTTTATTCAAAGACACACAATAAAATTTGGTGTAGAATATTTCTTCTTATAACACTTTCCCCAAAAATGATGTATTAAGAAAGAAGAATGGGAACGTGTTAAATTGACAGTAAATATAGACCAAACAGAACTCTACTTTCATAATTCTCCGGGGTTTTCCTTTAATTATGGAAATTTTTGAAATTTGTTGCACAGTGTTATTTATAATTCTAACGCATCGCTCGATCTGTCTAAACTTTAAATTTTTATATTTTACATTTGATTTTTTTCATTTGAGCACCTATCAGTTAATAAGAGCAGTAGTTCAAAATGCATGTTTTTTTCATTTTCTTACTATTATTAAAAATTTTTTGGTTAACCACAACTTACTTGTGTTCAAATCTATTACACCAATCTTGTGTCACAAAATTAAATCGAGGACAACAACGACAACACCACATTTTTCGATCACTTAACTGTAAACTGTTAACAATTATGCGTGAATGAAATATTTGCGTGGCATTTTTCATTAAAATTTTTCGAAAACAACCACGAAAAAATTTAATTAATTTCGATGTTGTTGTTGTTGGACCAGTTTGGGCAACTAGCCTTGGATTTTCAATGTCGTTATGTAAATACATACACACACACACACACATACATACACACAGAGCAGCAGTTAAGAGTGGAAATTCTTTGAAAATAAACGCAAAATATGAAGAAGAAAAATTAAATTGTTAGAAAATATGAATTTGATATTTATAGCATACAAATTAATCAAATGTTCAATTAATATTAGCTATGTTTAACAAAGCTATGCAAACACGAGAGCCAATAAATATTTCCAAAAAGGAAATGATTCGGTCATAAATAACTTGTCAATCACAATTATGTGGTGATATTAATTACAAATATTTATGTCAACAAATAATGAGAGGCCAAATTTGTTGTTTGTTTTATGGTCGAGGGGGGGAGAGTGGAGGAGGAGGAAATCCACATTTTTGTAAACAAATACAGTCATGGCCTGCAGCCATGGGAGTGAAAATGGAAAATTATTTGCATAAAATTGAAAGGAAATATAACTCCTGTGGCAGATATTGAAATTTTTGATGAAAGAGAATTTAGTTAAGATGGGCAAAATATTGAAAGAGAAATCCTAAACAGAATTTTTATTATCAGCAATATGGCTAGAGAGGGTATAAAACAGTTTTATACGATTAGAGAGAATATATGTTATTTGATACGACCAACACGTGCCTCTTCGAAATAATGGTTTTAGACACTAGGCATAGACAAATGAAAATATAGACAACGAAATGCTCTCACCGTTTATCTTCGAAAAAAATCGAATCAGCAGATGTCGTCTATATCGTTTCAGGGGTTTGAGTGGGAATATTGAAGTCACTCATTTCTAAAACGTTAAAAATAACAAAAACTGTAGGATATTTGTCAGTTGGAAATTGTTCCATAATAAAATAAATGTGAAAATTACGAGATGACATCAAAAAATTCCGGAATAATCAAGTGAAATTCTTGAAAAACGATGAAATGTGTTTTCGAAGTCGAGTGGCTTGAATGCGTAAATGAGCATGTTGACTATGCAAAACATGATGAGAGCCACCTGGAAAAAAATACCAAACTAACTTTTCGTTGTCTATATCTTAATTTGTCTATGCACTAGGTCTCTTTGGATCAAATCCGTTTCAGGAGATTTGGAGTAGATCTAACGATGTTCGTACCGTCCGTCTGCCTCTTAATCTGGCTGGGTGTGTGCACGATAACTCTCGAATGGAGTATCCGTTTCAGTTCAAACTTGTTACATCCAAATATTATTGTCAAACTTCGATCAAGTTCGAAGATGGGCAATATAGCTCCACTCTTTCTGATACCTCCCCCACAAAAAATCGAAATTTTAAAAAATATATATTTCAGAAAGAGAAAGGATAATCTGATTTTGCTTCAACTTTGCAAACCCTAATATTTGTATCAGTACTAGATCAAGTACGAAAATGGACAAAATTGGTCGACTCCATCCAGTACCTCCCCCACAAAGGTCAAAACTTTGAATAATTATGACTCTTATAAAATGTGATGTAAGTGTCCGATTCTCTTCAAATTACACACACCACAATATTTTTATTAACCCAAGGTCTGATGTGAAGGTAGAATATATCGGTCCATTCCTTCTGGTACCTTCCTCACAAAGGGTCAAAATTTTGAATAACCAAAACAATCATAAAATCCGAAATTAACATCCGATTCCATTCGGACTTTGCACATCTCAATATTTCTATCAACCCAAGATCTGTTATAAAGATGGTAGATATCAGACCAATCCTCCAGGTACCTTTCCCAAAAAGGATCAAAATTTTGAATATCCATGAACCCCATATAACGAGAAATTAACATCCGATTCCATTCAGTATTGGTACATTTCAATATTTCTAACAATACTAGATCTGTTATAAAGATGGTAGAGATTGAACCATTCCTTCTAGTAGCTCCCCCACAAAGGGTCAAAGTTTGGAATAACCAGAACGATTAAAAAATCCGAAATAAGCATTCCGTTCTCTTCATATTTAACATATCCCATTATTCTACTAACAAAAGATCTGCTCTGAAGATGGGATATATCGGTCCACTCCTTCTGGTACCTCCCTCACAAAGGATCAAAATTTTAAATTACCAAAAACGATCATAAAACTCGAAATTAACATCCAATCCCATTCGGACTTGGCACATCTCAATATTTCTATCAACACAAGATCTGTTATCAAGATGGTAGAGATTAAATCATTCCTTCTTGCACCTCCCACACAAGGGGTCAAGGTTTGGAATAACCAAAACGATTATAAAATCCGAAATAACTTCTCTTCATACTACCCACATCCCATTATTTCCACTAACACAAGATATGCTGTAAATATGACATATATCAGTCCATTCCTCAAAGCTCATAAAATGCAAAATTAACATCCGATTCCATTCAGACTTGGTACATCCCAATATTTCCATCAATACAAAATCTGTTATAAATATGGTAGGGATCGGATCATTTCTTCTCTTCAAATTTCGCACATCCAAATATTTTTGCTAACACAAGATCTGTTGTGAAGATGATATATATCTGCGACCTGCTTCCGATACCTCACCCACAAAGGGTAACAATTGTCAATACTTCTGTCTGTCATAACTTGTGAGGCAAGTAAGCGATTCTTTACAATTTGCTATATCTAAATATTTCTCAATTAACCAGAAACCTGAGATGAATATGGAATAAATCGGAATTTATGATTTCGCATAAAACTGGATGTAAATGCAAGATTTTCTTGCCATAACAATTTGATATGAAAATGGAATACTTCATTCGACTATATCTGGTACCTCACGCAGATTTTATGATTTTCTAAAAATCTTTACATATCTTATATAAAGTGAAGGAAGTAGCCTGGCACGTCCCAATATTTATGTCATATTTATTTTGCTCCGATAAAAAATGGTCAATATTAGCCCATTCCTAATCCATAGAGGGTCAACAATTTGAATAACCATAACAGAGGTAAAAATATATTTAAATCATCGAACATTGGCTGAGGGTATACATCTGTCGTCAAAACCGACTGATACCTTTTAAATAGTTTACTTAATCCAAAATATAACCAAAGTTAGCTCAAAAATTATTTTATAGAAACATTTGTTGAAAATTATTCGTATATGTCCACTTATTGATGTTTTACTCATGACGGACAATAAGAGACATCAACGCTAGAGAGAGGTAAGCAGGGTGTCTCAATTTTATTACTCTCTGAATACATTGTTTTTCCAATGGCTCAGATTGTATGTGTGGAGAGAACTATGCTCGATGAGAGCACGTGGGCCTAGCTTAAATTTGTCTAGCCCAGGTCTTAGATTGTTAACAGATCAAATTATTTAAATAAATAAATAATTAACATCTTAAACGTGAATTTGTGTTTTTTTTATCAAAACTAAGAGAAAAAAGTTAAAGAATCACAACAATCTTCGCTTGTAAAATTAATCAAGAGAATAAAGCTTTTTGTTTATATTTATTTTTCCCTTCCTAAAAATGAATTTCATTCATTAAAATTTGGGTTTGGTGGGCGGCTATCATCATTAGCCGTTCGTTCGTTGGTTCGTTTCACTATCACCCAACGACTAATCACAAAATAAATATTGTAAATTCGCTTTTATTGCTCTTAAGAGTTGTACAACAATTCAAACGTTTATATTTATCTATGGGACAGCTGTGAAACGTTTAACACAAAAGGCAAATCTACCGAGTTGCGTAGAGGTGGCGTCAGGTAGTCTATGACGAAAATTAAATAAAAGCCAACTGCAATAAAACAAATTAACTGCCATGCAAATTGTCTAAATAAATACAAATTGAAAATATTTTTAAATAATTAATTGTGCGGAAATTGTTTTAAAAATATCAAATTGCTTATAATAGGAACTGAAGGTGCAAAATAGAAAATATGATATAAATAGAAACATAAAATTTTTAATTATGTATTATATTTTAATTATGGGCAGCATGTGTGTTTTTAACCCACTAGCGGATATTTGAAGCTTAATCTGGTATTAACTAATTGGGAAATAATTGGATTATACTGGATAGCACCGGACACAGTATCAATGTCGCAAGAACTAATTTTCGTATATTTAGAAATATTTTTGGACGACAAAAACATGAATGTCTAGTGAAAAAATAAATTTCAAAAACTTCTGTGGTCTTTTTTCTGTATTTTTCCATTCACTTGATTACAAATGGATAAAGATATTCATATATATTGACAAATTAAAAGCAGTAAAGAATATCTTAAATTTGGGCGGGACCGACTTTATGATACCCTACACCACTTTGCTAATTAAGTAGAGCTCCACATAACAATTTAAAGTTTTTTTTTTATGGGAGAATTCAATCGTACACGCTATGATTATAATTTAAAGTTCAAAGGACTAAATATGCCGAAGCATTTGTATCTTTTAAATTCGGATTTTTATTGCCCATTTGGTGCACAATAATTTTAAAATCGGATAAAGATATATATGGGAGCTATATCCAAATCTGAACCGATCTCCATAAAATTTAGCAAAGATATTTCTAAGCTGTATTTGATATATTTCCCTGAATATCGTTGTTACGGAATGCATATTACGGCTGTGGGTAACAAATATAACAAATCGGATAAACAATATATATGGGAGCAATAGCTATATCTGAACCTATCTTCACCAAATTTGACATACTAGTTTCTCGACTCAATTCGGTCGTAAGTTCCAAATTCCATCCCATTTGGACAAATACTAGACGTTTGGTGCACAATAAATGGTAAATCGAACGAAGTTATATATGGGAGCTATATCCAAATCTGAAACGATCTCGATAAAATTTAGTAAATTTATTTCTGAGCTGTATTTGCTATATTTCCCCAAATATTGTTGTTACAGAGTGCATATTACGGCTGCGGAGGACAAAAATGACAAATCGGATGAATAATATATATGGGAGTTATAGCTATATCTGAACCGATTTCGATCAAATTTGGCATACTTATTTTCAGGCCTAATTTGGTTGTATATGCAAAATTCCATACTATTCGGGCTGATATTACACGTTTGGTGCACAATAAAAGGCAAATCGGACGAAGATATATATGGGAGCTATATCTAAATTTTGACCGATTATCTCTAATTTCACTAGGGTTCGTCCTTGATGATCTGTGCAAAATTTCATCTGAATAGGGCAATAAATGCGAACTGTACTATGTTTTCAAAAATACATGGACAGACGGACATGCATAATCGACTCAGAATGTGATTCTATGCAGATCATCAAAAGGAACTATGGGTCTATCTCGTTTCCTTTTGCCGGTTACAAAGAAATTCACAAAGACATAATACCCTGACCACCTTGTGGTGTAGGGTATAAATACGAGGAATATTTTGCTCGGAAATGTTAACCCACAAACTGGTCAACAAAAGGGCCTTTTTGGTCCTTTTTGAAAAATATGGTTAAAAACTTCCTTTAAGCGGGATCGTAGCAGGTTAAAATATCCTACAAAATAATTTGTCATAAAATTCTAATATAGGTCCTAGAATACATTAAAAGTTTTAATCTGACCTAAACGCCAGGAATTCGTATATATTAAGAAGACAATTTATGGTTAAAGCCGTACTTCTTGGGAGTTTGTGCAAAAATCTCCAACAAAGCATCATTTTAGAAGGACGATGTAAAGAACAAAAATGTTCTTCATCAAATTTCACTATGAGTTACCAAAGAAAATAAATCTCTATTTCCACTGCATATTAAATAAATAATTGCATCAATGCTCCCCCAAAAAAGAAAATATTCCAATTTTTTTGACATGTTTTCCTCGGACTTTTTTCGAGTTGACGCTTGAAAGTAACATAAAATTACGTTGTAAGCGAAAGGTATCAAGGGAAGAAATATTCTACATAAAATTTCACTATAAATCTCAGAAGAAACCCTATATCCAAGTATAATATTTTTTAAGAAAATTAAATACGAAATATATGTATTACAAGTGGAAATTATGCCTTTTTAACTTTTAATTTAACACGTATTCAATCCTAGTCAAATTCTCGCCTTATACTTCATTTTTTGGCAAAAGTGTCAAAGTAGGAATTATTCTAGATCAAATTTTATTGTGAGTCTCTGAACAAAAGAAATTGGTATTCCTAATAAGTACCATAAAAATGGCGTGAGTCTTTGTTAATCAAAAACCTTGTTTATTTCGGAAAATTTTATAACAAATTTTCGCTGGAAAATTTCTGATAATTTCAATAGCCAGTCTGGGTTGTGAAAAATGCCAAGTGGACTTGATAGTACTTGTTCCTAGATCAAAACCCCAAAAAATTTCTGGATTAATAGGCCAAAGGTTGTTAAGGACCTTATATTGAAGACCGTCCACCTGACTTCTTAATATTGAAAACTCCTACAGCTCTTTTACAGAGATAATTTTTATATGGAAATTTTCTTACAGAATTTTTCTTAGAGAGACAGGAGAACCTCCTAATATTTTATATATTAAAATTTTCCACAATGTCTCAATTTTATCTAAGAAATTCTGCAGGTCGATCGAAAATCTTCTACTCGTAAAAAATCGAAATTTGCGAAAGGTTTAACATATTTCAGGTTACCTCTTTATTTCTCAAAACATTTAATTTCCATTTTTAATTTTGAATTAATTGTTTTGTTTATTAGTCATGATTTTAACATTTAACATTTTTATTTATTTATTATTTTTTTTTGCAGGACATCGGGCCCATTCAGTCTATGTAGGTGTACATGTACCGGGTGGACGTCGCCATTCGCAAAGAAGGCGCAAACATCATCATGGCAAAAGTGATAGCAGCGGAGATGAGAGGCAGCCGGAAGTTGAAAGACCGGGTGAGTCAAAATATAAATAAAAATAGAATTTTATAAAAAACATTCGACAACTGGCCGTTGACATGCAACAAAAACATCGTTGACAAATAAAAACTTGAAATTCTCACTGAAATGAGAAACAATTAACTACTCCAACTAAACATAAACATATTTCCTCCCTCCCATTCTAGTTACCCCACCCGCCCAACGGGTACAATTCATATTGGGTGAGGATGCCGACGATGGCACCCACGTCTCCCATCCCCTATTCTCGGAATACTTAACCCTAGTTAAGGAAGGTGACGAAATCGAATGGAAAGAAACCGCCAGATGGATAAAATTCGAAGAGGATGTTGAAGAGGGCGGCAATCGTTGGTCTAAGCCGCATGTGGCCACATTATCGTTGCACTCCCTGTTCGAACTGAGAACCCTGCTGTTAAACGGCTCTGTGATACTGGACATGGAGGCGAACAGCTTGGAACTGATAGCCGATTTGGTTTGTGAGAATATGGTTAATGCCCGCACATTACCGGCCGACTCAAGGGATAAAGTTAAGGATGCTCTGCTGCGGCGTCATCGTCATCAGCACGAATACAACAAGAAGACAAAATTGCCGATAATACGTTCGCTGGCCGACATTGGACGGAATCATTCATCATCGAAAAGTAAGTTTTTGGCACAAAAGAAAACTAAGTAAAAAAATAACTTTTATGGAAATATTTTTGCAATAAAATCTGTAATTAATCATGCCATGGAAAGTTTCGAAATTGAACACAAAGAGAGAGAGAAAGGGGAAAGTTTGTTGAAAGGAAGCCATCAACAGTTTATTTTTTAATTCGAAAGAGCTGCTAAGAGAGTAGCTGTTTTTGGGAGTAGCAGTCAGTGATTTTTGGCGAGGTTCAACAGGAAAATATTTCATATGAAGGGAAACTGAGTTAAAGGCCCAGATATGAGAAATAATTTGCTCTTCTCTTCCATTATCACAGATTATGTTTTATGTAACTGAAATTTGACTTTGGCTTTTACCCAGTTGAAAAGAGAACCCCTCTCTCTCTTTGTGTTCAAACCCATCAACATTGTCATAACATCATAAAAGTGTCCATCTCTGATCCAAATCATTGTGTAAAGAAAATTCGAGCAGGAGAGTGAGTAGTATTCTTACTCCCTGAACTATTTTTATGTTCTGTAAACTTCATTGTCCTATATTTATCTCTCTCTCCCCCAACCCAACATTAACATTTCTATCTCATTACCTCGTATCAAGCCAAGAAAAATTCTCAGAGTTCCTAACATGTTTATAAAAGTCACGTTTAACACATGGATCTATGGAAATTAGTAGACAACGTAACGTAAGATTAGTCCGTAGCGCTATTGGTAATATACAGTTTACACTATGTAACATAGGGTTCTCCCAAGAAAAAAAACCGAAGTGATCTGCGGAAGAGTAATAGAAAAATAAGAAGATGATATAGGAAGTCAGCTGCTGCAAAATAGATGACATCCGAAGTAATCCACCGTAGAGTTGATGACATCCGAAGGCATCTACAGTAGAGTAGATGACATCCGAAATCAGCTACGGTAGAGTAGAGTAGGCATCAAAAGTCATCTACTGTGGAGAAGATGACATCCGAATTTATCTACTGCAGAGTAGATAACATCCGAAGTCATCTACTGTAGAGTAGTTGACTTCCGAAGTCATCTACTGTCGAGTAGATCCGTACGAAGTCATCAGCTATACAGTAAATTACATACGAAGTCATCTAATGTACAGTAGATTGCATCCGATGTCATCTACGGTATAGTAGATGACATCCGATGATATCTGAAGTCATCTACTACAGTGTAGCTGACATCCGAATGCATCTACTATAGAGTATATGACATCCGGAGTCATCTACTGTGGAGTAGAAGGCATCCGAACTCATCTACGGTAGAGTAGGTGACATGTGAAGTCATCTACAGTAGAGTAGATGACGTATTAAGTCATCTACTGTCGAGTAGATGACATCCAAAGTCATCTACTGTAGAGTAGATGACATCCAAAGTCATCTACTGTAGAGTAGATGTCCTCTGAAGTCATCTACTGTAGAGTAGATGTCTTCCGAAGTCATCTACTGTAGAGTAGATGTCTTCCGAAGTCATCTACTGTAAAGTAGATGATCTCCAAAGACATCTGGTAGATGTCATACGAATGATTAAAAATGGAAAAATCCCCTAAGCAATGTTACATAGTGTCTTATTTGTATATGTAGATTTTTTTTTAAATACAGGGCCTTCTTTAACACACACATGCACACAAACTGAATACTAATTCAATGTTAATATGTATAAGATTTACATGCCTCTACCAATTCATTGCATGTGAATGTGTCCTCAATAGAACTTGATGGCAGCAATCCGCTCTATGCATCGACATCGACGCCTTACTATGCCAGCAGTAAGGATCAGCGAGGTTGTTATCTTGCTGTGCCCACAGGTAGAGCAATGTTAACTCTAATCCTTCTCTCACCTTTTAATATTTTAGTTAATTATCAGTATTTTGTTGTTGTATTCAGTTACCATTCATATGTAAAGCAAAACAACAGCATAGTACTTAAATGCCAAGATACCTGTAAAAAATATGTTTCCTTCATTTCTTTTAAAGCACCTTGTATAGCTAGGAAAGCAAAGAACCACCCAAGGAAATGTAGCGACATAATTTCCCACATACGGTTCTAGAGTAGGCTATTTAATTCCCTACTTCACAAAAAAAAACATTTGCCATCCGCCACATTCACCACCACCACCACCCACGCCACCTGCAGCAGCAGCACATTTCTTCCTCTTCATAAAATTTTTGTTTCGAAAATCACATCATCCGTTGTCGTTTCAAATGAATTTGAAAGAAAACCACAAATTGTATTTTATTATAAAAATGCTCCTTATATGCTTCCTTCCTTCCTCAATTATTATTAACTTAATAGCTGAACTTGGTCATATTGGTGTAACCACTTGGTTCCATGCCGGCTCCTCCTCACATTCGCCACACGGTTCACACGGATACGGGGCAGCCAACAAACGTAAAGAAGGTTTTGTCGTGTTGTTTCTTTTTTAAAAGAATATTAGAGCCCAATACTGTGATAAAAAATAATCATAGCCAAACTAAAAATGTGTTTACTCTCTCTCCCCTAATTCTCTAAAAACTCTAATGTCTTTGATACGCTCTTTAAAAAAAGTACTTTTAAAGAGAATATATTTTGATATCTTTTTTCTCAATTCACATCATTCGGATATGTATGTTGTACTACAACTTGTCTTGTTATTTTCTCCTCCTTTTTTCTCTCTCACTCTCTCTCCGTGTTATTGATATAATTGTGTGCTGAGCGTAATTCTCTTCTTCACAGTTTTTTCTCTTAATGATACTACCATACGCAAAATTCCTTTACACTTTTTAATGTTTATTTCAATTTATCTGATAGATGGGTCATTCCACATAGATTATTTTAAAATATATTTTAAAAAATGAGCATAAATTTGGTTTGAATTAAAATTATTTATAAAAAATATAATAAAATTTAATTAAATCGTTTTGAGTACTAATTAAATGTTAATAGAAACAAATAAATAATGGAGATTTCAACAAGGAAGGCTTATAAACGAATTTAAAAGATGTACACCATCAATGTCATCTGCTGTAAAATAGATAACTTACGAAGATATCTCAGGTAGTACAGATGATGTCATATACTGTAGAGTAAATGGTTTACAAAGTCATATACAGAAGAGTAGATGGCTTAGGAAGCCATATACAGAAGAGTAGATGGCTTACGAAGTCCTCTACTGTAGAGTAGATGGCTTACGAAATCATCTACTGTAGAGTAAATGACTCACGAAGTCATCTACTGTAGAGTATAAGACTCACGAAGTCATCTACTGTAGAATAGAAGACTCAAGAAGTCATCTACTGTAGAGTAGATGACTCACAAAGTCATCTACTGCAGAGCAGATGGTTTACGCAGTCATCTACTGCAGAGTAGATGACTCACGAAGTTATCTACTACAGAGTAGGTGGCGTACGAAGTCATCTATTGCAGAGTAGATGAATCACGAAGTCATCTGCTGTGGAGTAGATAACTTACGAAGTCATCTACTGTGGAGTAGATGACTCAGGAAGGCGTCTACTGTCGATAACATGACTCACGAAGTCATCTACTGAAGAGCAGATGGCTTACGAAGTCTTCTACTGTGGAGTAGATAACTTACGAAGTAATCTACTGTGGAGTAGATGACTCACAAAGTCGAAATCGTCTACTGTAGAGTAGATGTCATAGCAGGTCATTCACTCTATCTATGGTTGACTTACGAAGTCATCTACTCTATAGTAATTTGGAGAATGGATGACCATCTGCATTGAGGCGGCTTAGTCCATTTCATACCTTGTTGAAAGTTCCTTTGCAGAAATTAAATACCTTTGGCAACCTCTCCCCTTTCTCTTTGCTCTCTTTCTATGTCACTCCCTCGCTCTCTCTCTCTCACTATTTTTTCGTCTAACTAAATGAATCAATTCTAGTGGAAGAGCATCATAGCGCTTCATCGGCACCGGGTTTAATGACAGCAACATCACCCAGTTCCTTGACAACCACTAACGGTTCGAATGGAAACAAAAGCGATGATAATACAATGGGTGGACGATTTTTAACCGTACCGAAACCCCAAAAGAATCATACTTTGACAAATGGTAAAGAACTTTAAGGCCGTAATAATAAAAAAAAAATATGTTCAGTTTATGATTTTAGTAGAAGACGACAACACACAATTTCTCTTTCTCTCTGTAATGTAAATGAATCGTTTTTTGAATGAAACATTTGTAAAGATTCTCTTCCCGAATTGGTTCCTTACAATATCAGTGCATGAATGTTTTCTTAGAGATAAATTATTGTATCTCAAAAATGTTTTTTTTTAGTTAAGAGAATGTCAATGTGTCTCACAAGGTTTTTATTCTCTCTTGAATACTTCTCAGCAAAATCTCCCAATGGAAAATCATTAATCTTTACTCTCTCATATTCATCTCTCACGCCAAAACGGACTCACATAAAACAATCTCATCATTAACTCCATCTTTCTTCAGCACCCCCTCTCACCTACACCACCCTTCACGTAAATGTGCGTTATTTTTACACTTCACCCTAAAAGCATGCACTATAAATATTTTTATTTTGTAGTGAGTTTTTTTTAATAACTTTTTTTATTCACTTTTTATTTAATTTTCTTTTATGATTTCCACTCAACTGTAATCTGCACCCCACCCTTCGTTGCCCAACCACCTACCTTAATTTTTTTTGCTTAAACCACTGAATTTGATGATTTTGATTTGTAATTTTGATGTTGTCCGGTAATGTTGTTTGTAAATTGTTGAAATTTGTAATTTTTTGAAAAACTTAAAACTAAAGAAAAAGCTAAAAAATTACGTAAAAATAATAAAATGCCTGTTATAACAGAGGACATGATCAAGAGTCCCAGCAGTCAGTCAATGCAGCGGAACAGCAGCGGCAATGATCTGAGTGATCATCGAGCCAACATGAATTTCATGAGGAAAATCCCTCCCGGTGCAGAGGCCAGTAATATTCTGGTGGGTGAGGTGGATTTCCTGGAAAAGCCATTGGCCGGCTTTATTCGTTTGAAAGATGCCGCCATAATGGGTGATCTCACAGAGGTTCCGGTGCCCACAAGGTAAGAATTTATTATTTAGACAAAGAAGAATTTTAAAAGCTCTTTTATTTACAAAAAAAAAAATAAATAAATAAATAAAAGCTCTGTAATGCCCTCTAAGCTCTCTTGTGTAGAATAGACCTTCAGGATGACTTGTATATAAAATTTTCAAAAGTCCATCTGTTTGTAGATCTTCAGAAAGTTTTCTGTGTACAGGGTTGCCCATATTCGACGGACCCATCTGGCAACGCCATAACTTTTCACATCGCTTAATGACATACCGCGTTTGAAGTGTCAGTCCAAGCAGATTTTTACCATGAAACAATACACGCCACGCGAGCGCTTAAATAGTTGAAATTTACATTTAAGTCAATTGTGAAAACTCAACGTGCTTTTAAAACATTAAAAAATGTGAGAAGTGCGCCTTCTAAGAACACCATTAAGCGTCTATACGAAAAATGTTCGACTGGTAAGGCTCTTTCTAATCCGAAGAGACCATATAAAAGTCGACCAAGGCGATCGGCCGAGCATATCGCTGCCGTACGAGCCAGTGTTGAGAGGTCCCCAAGAACATCCCAAAAAGCCATTCTCAGCAGTTGGGCATCGCTCGGTCCACTTTACAACGGATTATTCGCATTAATTTGCATTTGTTCCCGTACAAAATTCAATTGACGCAAAGAATGTTGCCTGCGGACAAGCCTCGTCGATTGGAATGGGCCCAAAGGGCCCAAAGGTCCGTCGAATATGGGCAACCCAACCTTAACAATAATACTTTCTTTGTACATAAGAGACCTTCCAAAGCTCTTCTGTGTACGGAAGATCTTGAGAAGCTTGTTTGTTAATGAAACACCTCTTTCTATGAAGCTCTTTTGTGTACCGAAAACTTTCAAAAGTTATCCTTTGAGTAAAAGCAAAAGCTCCTTTTTCCTTTGAAAAATGACCTTCAAATTCGCGTCCATGGATAAAAGATCTTTAAAAAATATGCAGTGGAGAACATGAGCTTAAAAGCGCGACTATGTATAAGAGACATTCAAAAGCTAAAGGCAAAAAGCGAAAACTTTTTTAAACATAGAAGACCTTATGAAGTTCTTGTGCGTACAAAAGGCCTTCGAAAACTCCCCTACGTATATAAGAACCTTTAAAGTTTTTTTGATAAATGAAGACCTACAAAAGCTTTTCCAAAGCTTCTACGACTTTATAAGGCATTCTCCATTGGAACACCTAGAAAAACTCGTCTGTGTATAAAACACCTTAGAATGATCTTCTTTGTATTGTAGACCCTCAAAAAAATGCAAAAATACCTTCGAAAAATCTTCTTAATATTGATGACCTATAGAAGGTCTTCTGAAGAGAGAAAACTTTTAAAAGCCCTTTTGGAAGATCTTCGAAAAGCCCTCTGTGCTTAGAAGACCTTAAAAAGATTTTCTTTGTGCATATTACCCTATACATATCCTCTGTGTATAAACCCGTATTAAGAGGTATTTTTTGTACAAAAACCTACAAAAGCTCTTCTGGTATTTGAAAAGCCGTCTGTGCATAGAAAAGCTTTAAAAGCTCGTCTAAGTACAGAAAACTTATTTATATAGAGGGCCTTTGTATGGCAAACCGCTTCCTTTAGTAGACCTCTATAAGTTCTATTGTGTATAGGAAGCCCTCAAAAGGTACTCTGAGTATTATCTCCCTCTCACATATCTCTCACTCTCTTCTGTCTCCCCTCTACACAGATTCATTTTCGTTCTATTGGGCCCGCCCGGCAGTCAAAGTAATTTCCATGAAATTGGTCGTGCCATGGCCACCCTAATGTCGGATGAAATCTTCCATGAAGTTGCCTATCGTGCACGCAAGCGTGATCATTTGTTGGCCGGTATCGATGAATTCTTGGATGCCGTAACAGTACTACCACCCGGCGAATGGGATCCAGCAATACGTATTGAACCACCAGCAGCTGTGCCATCTCAAGAGATACGTAAACGCCCACCCGAAGCACCCAAAGAGGAAATCGACGAAGAGGAATTGGAGGCAAAGCTCCGTGAAGAATCTGGTCTATCGCGATCGGGTCGCTTGTTTGGTGGCCTGGTGAACGATGTCAAACGTAAAGCGCCATTTTATATATCCGATTTTACAGAGGCTTTCTCCATGCAGTGCATAGCCTCGTGGATATTTTTATACTTTGCTTGCCTATCGCCCATCATTACCTTTGGCGGTCTGCTGTCACAGGCAACGGGTAAAAACATGGCTGCCATGGAATCGTTGGTATCTGGTTTTGTATGCGGTATTGGTTATGGCTTCTTTTCGGGCCAACCCCTCACGATTTTGGGTTCAACGGGACCGGTGCTGGTATTCGAAACAATTGTCTATGAGTTTTGCCTGAAACAGGGTTGGGATTATATGACATTCCGCTTTTGGATTGGCACCTGGATAGCTGTGATTTTGTTGATCCTGACCGCTGTGGATGCCAGTGCATTGGTGTGCTACATCACCCGGTTTACAGAGGAGAATTTCGCCACCCTTATAGCATTTATATTTATAATGAAGGTAAGTGCTAGCTACCAGCATTAAATGGCGCCCAAGCATAATATTTCTATACAATTTTAGGCTGTTGAAAATGTTTTGAAAATTGGCAAAACATATCCCGTGCACAATGAGATATATGATTGTGTGTGTACACCGCCAGTGGGCAGTAATGCCACCATTTTGGAATATGCCAAATTTAATAAGGATTATTGTGCGGTAAGTATTGTGTTTTTTTATTTTTGGTTAAATTTTGAGAAAAATATTAATTTTGTGCGTAATTGCAGGTAAACAATGGCACCCTTGTCGGCATGGATTGTGAACAACCTGATACCTCTAATATATTCCTCATGTCTGTGTTATTGTTCTTGGGCACGTTTATCATTTCGACCATTTTGAAAGACTTCAAAACGGCTCGATTCTTCCCCACCATTGTTCGCCAATACATTAGTGATTTCTCCGTTATCATTGCCATCTTCAGTATGTCGGCCTTCGATTATTTCATGAAAATCGAAACACCCAAATTGGAGGTACCCCACGAACTGAAACCCACCTTGCCCACACGTGATTGGCTCATCCCACCATTCACAGAAAACAATCCAGCCTGGTCAACGGTTGCAGCTGTCATCCCAGCGTTGTTGGGTACAATTCTCATATTTATGGATCAACAAATTACCGCTGTCATCATCAATCGTAAGGAGAATAAATTGCGCAAGGGTTGCGGCTATCATTTGGATTTGTTTGTGCTATCCATTTTGATACAAATTTGCAGTATTATGGGATTGCCATGGTAAGTGGGAAAACAAAGATGATTGATATTTTTAATTATTCTTGCCCTTGGAAACACAAATAAGGGAAATTGAATAGATAGCTTTTTATAATGTCAAGAGAAGAGGTCTAAAAAAGTCTAAAGACCTTCAACATATAGACATTGGTATTCCTTAGATACAATTCTGTCAAATAACGAATATGTGTTTCAGTGAACCCTACTGAGTGTAGCGTATGAATTATTTTTCAATAATTTAATTTAGATTTTAGTAAGTGGCGCCCAACGTAGGGTTTCAATAATATTGTTTTAAATAGTGGCTGGCATTTGCCACGAATGTATTGAATTAATCCTTATTCAACCATTTAATTAAGTTTCTAGCAAATGGCGCCCAACGTAGGATTTTAATAATATTTTTCTAAATGTCATTTGTAAATGTACATCAGTTATGCAGCTGTCTATAGAATTTCCAATGTTACTAAATGACGTGGGACAAATTGTAAATGAAATTGCTTTAGATTAATTTGGAACCCCATAAATAGCTCTTAAAGAGAAGCCATGTCTAATTAAATTTGTTTTAAAAAATGGCGCCTAACGTGGAAAGTCGGATAAATAATAATCGCAGAAATTTTCCATTTGTGGTACTATATGATACGTTTTTCCTATTAATGGCGCCCAACGTTCAAATTAAGAAGATTTAAAAGTAAATGTTTGAGAGATGTGAGAGAAGGGATTATTGCATATCCTGTAAAAATAGACAAATAATATTTGTTGTTCCGCTTCAATGTTTGCTGCTTATGGTTACTCTGTTAGAGTTTAATAAGTGTAGCTTGTTTATCTGTTCGTACAACAGAGATTTCTCGTTTTTACTCTCCCAAAAGAAGTTAGGAGAAGTAAAACTCCACAAATTTATTTTAGTTAAATTTATTTAGGTTGGATATATGCGCCCAATGGAAAATCATAGATAATGAAATTTTTATGTGTTCGTTTTTAACAAATGGCGCCCAATGTAGGTCCCAAAAAATACATTCCGTCACATCTGACAACAGAATTCCGTTTTTTCCAATATTTTTAAATGGCGCCCAACGTTTAACCTGAACGAAGTTTAGGAAATTGTTTACTTTTGTTAAGATCGGAGCTCCGAAAGGGGAACCAAATCTATTTTGATTAGTTTTAATTTAATTTTTTTCGCCCAAAGCGTGGATCTGATAGCAAAAACATTGAAATAATGATTGAAATATATCATTTTTAGTATTGCGGAAATTGGGAACTATGTCGTCTTCTTTTTCAATTTCATGAATGGCGCCCAATGTACGTCCTTAACATTATTTCGAAAAATATTTTATGTCAAATTTGTTCAGTTAGACATGGCTTCCAAATATGGCACCCAATGTGTGAGTCTTGTAAAATATTTTGAAATAATGATTGAAGTTTCCCATTAGTTATTCAATATGCATTTAACCGCAGATTTCGGCTTTCACTTGACAATGCTTACAACGTTAAATCTGAAGTTAATGGTTTAAGAAGTTTAAAACAACTTGTTTAAAGATTTTCTGCTAGTTTTGGCGGAATAAATGACTTATTGTCTCTTGATAAAGTTCTGTAGTTAAAAGTCTGATTCTAGATGGGCGCCACATAGTCCTATTATTCACGGTGCTCAAAAGAATATTGTTTGAGCCTAGCGGCTAAAAATAATATTTTTAAAGCTCTTAATCTTGAATCTAGAATCAGGCTTTTAACTACAGAATTTTATCAATAGACAATAAGTCATTTATCTACACCAGCGATCTTAGACCATTAGAACAGGACATAATTCATAAAACTCAAAAATAAATCCAAAAATGGCGCCCAACGGAATTTTAAAATTGTTAAAAATCTTCAATCTATGGAACATAAAAATCTACAGAAAATAATATGTTCGCCTAAACTAGTAATCTTGTCATCAAAAGATGGATTTAAAAAGAAAACACTAAAAGTGGCGCCCAATATAAATTCGAATGTTAAAGGAATTATCTTTGTTTCATACATAAAAATAGCTATTTAGCTATACAAGCGAACTTGTCATCAATATATGGAATTAAAAAGAAAACACCAAAAGTGGCGCCCAACGTAAATTCGAATTTTAAAGTAGTCCTCTATGTTTCATATATAAAAATAACTCCTTACTTACACAAGCGATTGCGTGGAAGAGATCATCAATATGTAGACATCATGTCATAGATATAGAATTCAGAAGAAAACACTAAAAGTGGCGCCCAACGTGAATACGAATCTTGAACTGGCCTTCTATTTTAATCATATATCAAATAGATATTTACATACACTAATGATATTGTATACATGAAACAGGCCATCAATATAGCATTTAAACGTGGCGCCCAACACGGATGTTTATTTGTATAGAACATCACTCAAAGAAAAGTTTTTTCTGGATTTCTAAAAACAAAACATTATCAATAGAAAATGAGACATTTATATAAAATCTAAAATTAACGCCAAAAATGGCGCCCAACGATCGTGTAATTATAGTACTGTACATCAGTACACAATTTTCAACAGAAAACACTAAAAGTGGCACCCAACAAGAATTCGACCTTGAGCTGGAACCCTATGTATTGTGTATAAAAATAGCTCTTTACCTAAGGAACAGCAACATCTTATATCTACAGAACAGGTCATAAATATAAGGACATTTTCCATTTAGACATCAAACCAAAAAAATGGCGCCCAATAAAAATTTAAATAAATTACTTGTCTTCTACATACAAAACATCGAAGGAGATGTTTAATCTATGAATAACGTACTAATATTATGTGCCTATGTAATATGTAGGAATTCTGTCATGAATGTATAGAATTGAGAAGAAAACACCAAAAGTGGCGCCCAACGAGAATTCGAGTCTAGAAGTGGTATTTTTGTATCATACATAAATATAGCTCTATAACAACAGAAGCTATATTGTATCTATGGAAAAGGTCATCAATATATCATTTTCGTAAAAGACCGAAAGTGGCGCCCAACGAGAAATTCAGTCTAAAAGTGGAATTTTATGTATCATATGTAAATATAGCTCTATAACTACAGAAACTATATTGTATCTATGGAAAACGTCATCATTATATCATATTATCATTACATATAAGACCAAAAGTGGCGCCCAACATGAATTCAAAAAATGTATTTATCATATATGTATGGAATATCACTCATGGAAAATTTGTTATGTTTAAGTTATGCCCACAGAAGGGATATATGGAAGAGACCATCAATATGTAGATTATTTTATTTAGGAGAGGTCTTAAGCCTCTCGAAGAGAGAGCTAGTGACTATACAGAAAATGTCTTCTTCTAAAATGTTTAAGAAAATCGTCCTCTCTAGTCGAAATTTAATTTGATTAATATTTCTCTTTTCCCTTTCCAGGTTCGTGGCTGCCACTGTGCTCAGTATTAACCATGTGAATTCACTGAAAAAGGAATCAGAATGTTCGGCACCGGGTGAAAAACCACAATTTTTGGGAGTGCGAGAGCAGCGTGTTACCCACATTTTGATTTTCCTTAGCATTGGCCTCTCCGTTTACTTGACACCCATATTGTGTCACATTCCTATGCCGGTATTGTTCGGTGTTTTCTTGTACATGGGCGTGGCTTCGCTGAAGGGTTTGCAATTCTTCGATCGCCTGCTGATTATGTTAATGCCAGCCAAATATCAACCGGATTATATGTTCCTTAGACAGGTAGGGAAAATTGATCTCCCGGAAATTTATAATCTATTGATGTGAATTTTCAAAATTGTTTACAGGTTCCCATTAAACGTGTCCATCTGTTCACAATTATCCAATTGGCCTGTTTGGTGTGTCTGTGGCTCATCAAATCTTTCTCGGCCACATCCATACTCTTCCCCCTGATGTTGGTCGTCATGATTGGTATACGCAAGGCCTTGGATTTGGTGTTCACCCGAAGGGAATTGAAAATTCTCGATGATATTATGCCAGAGATGACGAAGCGTCAGGCTGCCGATGATCTCCATCAATTGGATGCTGAGGTGGGGTGCTTTAGAAAAATGTTACCTTGTTTTGGTGGTAGTCGTACTTCACATTCCATCAATGAGAAATCCCCTGCGAAGAAGAATGGTAGCAAACTAAACATGAAGACGGCCAGTTTTACACAGGCTAATGAAAAGGAACTGGAGGCCCAGAGTGCATTGCTGAAGAAATAAAGGCAGCAAATGGGGATTTGTGGCCCGAAATAAGAGAAAGAATTTTCCCATTTTCGCATTGGGTTGCCATGTTTACTTTGCTACTATTTGCTGATGTTTCCACTCTCGCTCTTTCTCTCTCACAAACCTAAATCACAAACTGGGCGAAATGAAGTTGTCATTTCGCTCTCTCCCCCTTCTTTTACTACTTTATTTACGTTTCCATGTATGTGTATTTGTTTGATGATCACTGTTAGTTAACGTTCCTTTGAAATGCACTGTAGTCCTCCAAATACAGCCACCAATCAACCAACACCACCACAAAACAACATCACAGCAGAAACAAAAGAAAGCAACAAAGTTTTGTGCTTCACTGTAATATTGATTTATATAATTTTTATTTCTTGTTTTTAAATCAGTATTTGATTATTTAATTGCCTTTTTTGTAATTTTAAGCTAGTAGTTCTTTTTTAGTATAATTATATACATACATATATTATTTTTTTAATTATTATGATGATTATTATGTTCTTTAATATAAATATTAAAAATAATCTTAGTTTGAATGCATTTACATATACAAATATTTAAAAATTTTTAAACAATTTGAGTCTGCAGCATTCTAATTGCGAAGATTGTAGTTTATGTTATTCAAATTTTTACCTACGTATGTACATCTATGTTTTTAATTTTTTAACTAGAATATATTTTGTTTTAATTTAAAAATTGTCTATGCCACAAGAAAAGAGAACACAACACTTTGCTATAACAACAACAACCACAACTAGCTTTTAGACTTGTATTTAAATGTTTTTATTTTTTATTTCAATATTATCGATTTACCTCCTCTTTTTTTTAATGTGTAATTTTATCGAAATTTGTTTTTAAATTTAGAAACAACGTTTTACTAAGTCAATATAGAAAAAAGTACCTAAAAACGTATTACAATTAATTAATATATGCCCATAAAATATATGTGAAGATTATACATACATACAAATACATTTTATATATTTACAAACCGAACCACACAGAAATACAAACAAATATAAAAAAACAACATTTGAAATAAGTGCAAAACCAACAAAAAAAAGACAACGATCTACTAGTAGCATCCGCATTAGTCTGTCTAGAAAAAAAAATTATTTTACATTTTATTGTAATAAAGACAATGAAGAAATAAGAAAATTAAAATAGAACAATTTTACAAAACAAAAAAAAAAACAATTACTAAAACAACAACCACAACAAACTCTGGAATTACTATAATAGAAGATAGTCAGTTCTTGGAACTTTATACTTATTTTGGAATAATCGTTTGATTTTATGGACATCGAAGTTTAAATTACCATCCAAGATTTTTTGCCAAGAAAATCTTGATGGATAGGGTTTTTGCCACGACAATACTCACATCTTTAAATCATGAAGTCATTGAAAGAAAAATAATTCGTCCTTGAAAAAATATTCATTAAAATCGTAGTTTTTTCAGAACACTTTAAATATTCAAAATATTTTTTGAAAGAAAATCGAAAATATATAAAAAATCACAATCTTCGGCCAGAAGATTTGGCAAATATATATCGAAAATCGGCAAAAAAAATTGTGATTATTGACATGAGATGCCTCTATAAATATTCTTTAAAAAAAGTGGCGCCCAACGGGAATTCGAATGTTGAAATGGTCTTCTATATTTCAAAATTTGTATCGTTATACAATTTATAGAAAGCAATCTGATTAGCTACACAAGCAATCTTGTAATTATAGTACTTTTTTTTCGAATTGGTCACCTTTGGCACGAATTATGGCCTTTAAATGGCCAATTAAACCGTCACAAGCTGCCCGAATGTTGCTCTGCGGTATTTTGGCCCATTCCCAGCGAAGCGCTTGCTTGAGATCGACATTTTGGTATTTTTTAATGACAATCTTGCTTTCCAAAATACTCCAGACACAATAGTCCAACGCATTGGTATCCGGAAATTTTGGTGGCCATTGTGCCCTGGAAATGAAGCGAGGAACCTCATTTTGTAACCATTCTTGGGTGGCGCGTGCTGAGTGCGATGGTGCAGAGTCCAGTTGGAATGTCCAAGGTCTGCAGCCAGAATGTTGGCGTGCCCAAGGTTTTAATGCATGCATGTTGGCGTGCCCAAGGTTTTAATGCATGCTCCAGAATATTTTCGCAATAATATTCGGCATTTATTCTGATGCCACGGTCGAAAAAAAAAAACTATAAAAGTGGCGCCAAACGAGAATTCGAATGTTGAACTGGCCTTCTCTTCAATTTACAAAATACGATTTATATACAGAAAACTGTTTAGCAACACAAGCGATCTTGTAATTATAGTATTTTTCATCAATGCAAAGATTTTAAGAGAAAACACTTAAAGTGGCGCCCAACGAGAATTCGAATAAAAACTGCTCATTACCATTGAAACATGAACATCTTGTATCAATGGATTCCGTGCATGTGCAATTTGTAGACATCCTGTCATGAATATAGCTCTATAACTATAGAAGCTATACAGGGTGAGATAAAAAAACTGCAACAAAGTCAAATACCATTTAGATTTTTTCGAATTGGTCACATTTGGCACGAATTATGGCCTTCAAACGGAAAATGATTAAAACTGCTGAAGACGAGTAAAACATGCTCCTCCCTCTTATTCGAGTGGAATAAAAAAATAGTGCATACTTGTTTTTTTTCTCGCGAGAGAACTTTCGCTAGTATTAAAGCTAGCATTACTCTGATTCAAGTGTGCATTTTGGCAAGGCTTCAAGATTCTTTCTTTGCAGTCATCGTTCCTGTTTATCATTTACGCCTCCTCTTTTCACTTATGTTGGTTCCAATGTTTCAACATTTGTGGTAGTCTAACCAGTTGAAGAGAAGAGAACTTCATGTTCATTCGCTGACATCGTCCAATTCCCTGACATCTGAATAACTGAGTATTGAATGTTGAAGAAACATGACGTGTACATTGGTACGAAATCAACTTGTGTGCTGGTGAAGACTAATATGCGGGACATGATCTGATTGGAGAGAAATGGCAGATGCGATTGTTGTCCTTTAACTGTCGAGGTGAAATTTTGGGACGTATTTTATGAGGTTGTGGTAAATTTTACCCCTATTAATTAAAAAAAACAGCTATGTTCGGCCGGGCGACCTTTTAATACCCTCCACCATTTTGAAGGAACTTGAAAATTTTCAAAAAAAAACCTTAGAAAAAAAATATAAAAAATTTGCCACCACCTCGTTAGTTAAAGGTTATAAATGTTTGACAGACTCGATCATTGTGCGGTTCTGTTTTGCTAGTTATTTCTCTCAGAGAGAACTATTGCACTTATCGATCCAATTCATTCCATTTATGTAATTTTAGCATGTTCTTGTCGATGCGGTTGAGAAGATTTTCACAAAGTTATAATATTGTAACATGATTCGCTTCCACTCACTCGTATTTATAAGTCCTCATTTATACATGGGAGTTTCGACAAATTTGATCCAGAATATTTTACAATATTCCAAAGAAATGGCAACGACGTCCATTTGTCAATGAATATACACACATATACAAACAAAACAATGGAAATATACAACAAATAGCACATTAATTATAAATACGAGTGAGGAAAAATGGTTAAATCTACTAGTTACTTTCTTAACATTATTTGAAACTATTTTCGATATTGTTTCTGAGTAAAAACACTAAGTTTAGCAAGAATCATTAAAAATAGAATTAAAGGGCATAAGAAATATTAAATAACTCACATTTCAATCGTTCCAACAAAAAAATAGATCCTTTGAACTAATTCGTTTGGCACCAACATAACTCTAATGATTAGGACTGGCAAAATATTGGAACTATTTCTCTGTTGAATTTTATTTCTCTCCTGGTTCTATCTGGACGATTGGTGTATTTACCATGGGAAATAAAATGCTTATCAAAAATACGAAATGAAAGACATAAAAATGGCTTCACCTTTTGTACCATATGTATAAATATCGTTTCTCATATTGTTTCAAAATGAGTATAAAGTTTCAAAGCAATTTATAAAAAACTGATATATAGGCTAGATATAAACATACATTTTAAGCTAATGTCATATTTATTTTAAAAAGTCCAAAATTTAATAAAATTATCATTGAAAACAAAACCCTTTTTTTCCCATCTATCATTTTTTGTTCCTCTAATATTTTCGTATGCATTTTCGAACATTAATTTTGAGTTTCATTATTTAAAATCATTCGAAATTCGATACGTTGAACTCGTCATTTGATGTAGGTAATTTAGTGAGCAAACAACGTGATTAAAAGTGTCATGAGAACATGATATTAGGGACCTTAATTTCAGTGTAATGGCTTTGTTCCCTAACACGCAAGAAAGTGTGAGTTTTGCAGCATTTTGTAAAAACAAAAATATTTCCGTACACAAATGAGGAGCACTACCATAAGTCCAAATTTATATTAGGTAATTTTTCTTTGTTTGTAGGAGAGACTTGGGTAACGGGAATGAAAATGGAAAAAACTGTTGGTACTGGCAAATTTCTGCCAATTCCTTTTATGTTTTTATTTTTTAACAAAAAATGTAATTAAAAAAAGTGGATACGGTGGATAGGTTTTGAACCCGGACTTTTAGGATCCCGGGTCCGTCCCCAAGAAAAAAAAATAGTTTCCCGGAATCAGGGTAAAAATACATACCACTGGAAAATTTTGAAAAAAAAAAAATGAAAAGTATTTACTAAACTACAGTTAAGCCCAACTAAATAACACTAACTTACAGTGAAATATAATTCGAAACTATCAATCTGCTGTACAGTCGCATATGTACATACTTTATACTCAAATTCAAATTTGATTCCTGAACATATTTTATAATCGGAAAACTAAATCGGCGATTAAAATCATCCATTATCATTGTGTTAATTTATTTATTTCTAAACTTCAAAATTTTGTAAAATCTTTCACCAAATTTCACAAAAGATCGTTTTCAAATTTCTTCAATCACCTATATTTGGCACCTAATTCCCCCTCACAATTGTAAGCTAGTGATATATTCGAACCAAACAAGGTCTATAACTTATACAAATACAGCAAAAAATGCAAAACAGCAACAACAAACAACAACCCTATGTATTTAATTTTTAAGGATCACCATCAACACCAGCACCAACAGCAGCATCATCATCACCACCACGACAGATATGATAAATACAATTCGTCTATAAATCCGGGACCAACAACGATACACATACCCCTAAAGGTAGATTCAAGTGAAACGTCATCAACGTCGGCCCATCAGCAGCAGCAGCAACAACAGGCAAAGTCCACGAATGTACCCCAAGAGGTGCAAAGCATTTGGCAGCAACTGCATGAGGATGGTAGTTCAACAGAACAATTGATAATACCAATCAACTTTAAAGTTCGACAGGTTAATGGCAGTCATAAGTAAGTTGAGTTCGTTTTGTTTACATTAGCAAAGAAAGGAAGAAGAAGGAGATTGTAGAAATACTCCGATTCTTAGATTTATTGAAACTCACAGCTAGAATTGTAAATGATTTAATTCATCTTCCCGTTTTTTTTTTCTTGTTCTCCATATATGCATTATTTTCATTCATTGTCAATTAAAAAAAAAAAAAAACAAAATATTTCAAAAAAATTGAAGTAAACAATCACTGACCACCATGAGCGAGGAAGAGGAGAATTTGAATACACCGGGAAAACAGATTTTTGACAATTCATCCAAAAATGAGCCATTCCATGTTAAGGACACCTCAAACGATGCCGAAACAAATAAAAATCTCATCACACCCGTTTAGATTCAAGTCAATGAGAATTATTGAAAGCGTCATTTTAGAATGACAACACATGCGCACACCTTGAATCGCACAAAATACGTATGCTGTTACACAGTTGTAAGACAAAAAAAACAATCAAAGAAAACATAAATAACAAAACGACAGGCTTAAATTTATAAAGGTTGAGTGGTTGATGGGAACTTTGAGTGCTTGAGTGGGATAGCCATTAATACAATAACTTGCACTATTTCGTATGTTTTGATCTAAAACCTTCCACCATACAAAGTATGGAGGGTATATTAAGTTCGTCATTCCGTTTGTAACTTATCGAAAAAAAATTTTAGACCTAACAAAGTCCATATATTGTTGACCGGATTAAATTCTAAGACGTTTTAGCCCTGTCCGTCCCTCCGTCTGTCGTACTCACGCCAGAGTTAAAGCAAATAAAGATAGGAACCTAAAATTCCTTCCTGTCTGCAGGCAGATCAAGTTCAAAGATGAGATATATCGGTCCACGATATCGAAAGGGCCCCATACAACGGTAGGCCCCGATTTTCGGTATTTTGATGATTGTTGCCAAATTTATCAAAGTAATTATCTGAAAATCCACACAAAAAGTTCCTTCTGAATACTGTACCACCTGGAAGAGTATTGTCTATATAGGTCCACGATATCGTATATCCCCCACGTAACGGTACCTCCCTATATTAGAGATGTTGATGGTTTTAGATACATTTTTCAATGGATTTGTCTGAAAATCCACACAAAGAGTCCTCTGTGAGTAATTTAACACCAACAATACCCCCCCCCCCCCCCAAAAAAAAAAAAAAAAAACCAATTAGGTCCACGATATCGTATAGCCCCCATATAACGGTTCCCCCGATATTCGGTATTTTGAAGATTTTAACCACATTTTCAATGGAGTTGTCTGAAATTTCTTAGCAGGAGTTCTTCGTGACTACTTTACCCCCTGAAAAAGAATTGTCTATATAGGTCTACGATATATAACTGTTCCACCCGATATTCGGATATTTTGATGATTTCTGTCACACTTTTTAAATGGAACTGGCCGAAATTCTACACAAGGAGTTCGTCGTGACTACTTTACCCCCTCAAAGAGAATTTTCTATATAGGTCCCCGATATCGGATATCCCCCATATAACTGTACCTCCCGATATTGGGTATTCTGATGACTTTAACCACATATTTCCATAGAATAGTCTGAAAATCCACACAAGGAGTTCTCTCTGCGTACTTTACCCCCGGGAAGAGAATTGCCTACATAGATCTACGTTTTAGTATAGCACAGATATAACGCTACCTCGAGGTATTCGGTATTTCCAAGATTTTCGCGACATTGTTCACCAGAATTGCGTCATATTTCCTATTTGAAGTTCGTTATGGGTATTACAACATATGACGGAAAATTGTCTATGCCGATCCACGTCTTGGTATAGCCCCCATACAACGGTACCTCCCTTTATTCGGTATTTTGATGATAATAGCGATTTTATTCACCGGAATTGTTTCTAATTTCGTATTCGAAGTTCAGCCTATGACTTCGTCATAGCCCCCATATAAAAGTTTTTATTTCAGCGGAATTTTTCGAAAATGTTTTTTTTTTTTTTGAAAAATTTCAAGTTTTTCTTGAATGGTGGATGGTAAAAAAGTTCGTCCGTCCGAATTTAACTGTTTTTTTACTTTTATACCCTCCACCATACTATGGAGGGTATATTAATTTTGTCATTCCGTTTGTAACTCCTCGAAATATTCATGTCAGTCCCAACAAAGTATATATATTCTTGATCAGCGTAAAATTCTAAGACGATTTAGCCATGTCCGTCTGTCTTTCTGTCCGTCTGTCTGTCTGTCTGTTGTAATCACGCTATCTTTCGAACAAATTGAGATAGAAGGCTAAAATTTTGCACACATGTATTTTTTCCCAGTAGGCAGGTTAAGTTCGTAAATGGGCCATGTAGGTCCAAGTTATCATATAGCCCCCATATAACGGTACCTCCCGATATACGGTATTTTGACGATTTTAGCGACATTATTAACCGGAATTATTTCAAATTTGGCATTTGAAGTTTGTAATGGATGCTACAGCCTAAGACAGATAATTATATGTGCAGGTCCACGTCTTCCTGTAGCCCCCATATAACGGTCCCCCCCCCGATATTCGGGTTTTTGATGATTTTAGCGACATTGTTTACCGGAATCGTTTCAAATTTGGTATTTGAAGTTCGTAATGGATACTACATCCAAAATCAAAAAACGAGCCATGTAGGTCCACGTCTTCATATAGCCCCCATATAACGGTACCCCCTGATATTCGGTATTTTGATGATTTTAGCGACATTGTTTACCGGAATAGTTTCAAATTTGGTATTTGAAGTTCGTAATGGATACTTCATCCAAAGTCAAAGAATGAGCCATGTAGTTCCACGTCTTCATATAGCCCCCCTATAACGGTACCCCCCGATATTCGGTATTTTAATGATTTTAGCGACGTTATTTACAGGGATTGTTTCAAATTTCGTATGTGAAGTTCGTAATGGATACTTCAGCCCATGCCAGAAAATTGTCTGTGCAGGTCCACGTCTTCGTATAGCCCCCCCATATTCGGTATTTTGACGATTTTAGCTACATTATAAACAGATTTTTCTTCAAGTTTCGCATTTAAATATTGTAATAATTTATGACAAAAGTTGCCTATGCAGGCCCACGTCGTCGTATAAGCATTCGGTATTTTTAAGATTTTAACAGAATTTTTAACGGGTTTTATTTTTTGGAAATTGCCAAATTTGTACCAAATGGTGGTGGGTATTAAAAGTTCGGCCCGGCCGAACTTACAGCTTTTTTACTTGTTTTAATTAACATTTATTCTTATCGGAACTTGTCCGCTTGATCGATAATTCGTCTAGTAGAGCGAAGTACACACTATAATTTTTCACCGACATAAATTTAAACTACTTGACTGATAGTTTAACGTCCCACATGAATAATATATAGTGGCCCATACAAACAATTCCACAAAACTATATTAACAGCTGAATTGTTTAATGCATACAATGCAGGAAATCAGATGTCAGATTCGCTAAAAATATACAGAAAGCATATCTCTCCATAGATCATTTCTCCAAGCATTAATATTTGGGGACAACTAGTTTGCGAATATGGCAACCCAAATGAGTCTTTTTTGAACCTTGCCTATCCTATTTGATGTGCAAATGTGAGGTGCTTAAATATATCAGCCGTGATTTAAACTTAAGCCTGTAAAATTCATGTATCTTCTACCAAGCACTCAAAGTTCTATCAGCATTAACTCTATAAACCCCCAAAGTATGGGTTTACAAATCGTAGAGCGACAGTTTTTTTACAGATTAACAATGGATTTTAAGTATACAACAAATGTAAAAACAAAACAATCTTAGTCATTTCCATCCCTTTTACAGAGTAAAACTATATATGTATTCAACAATTTTATACCGCATCACAATATACAACAAAACTCAATGTACTTTTAAAATTGATATGCATACATACAGACATATAAAAAAATTATAAAACTATTTCATTTTGTATGTGTCTAAAGTAGTTTTTGGAAAAAAACAATTAAATCGAACTTAAAAGCAACACAAAGACACTAATTAAACACAACTGTCAATTGAAACATAAGTTAATTACTTAAATGCAAAACAAAAAACATCTAAAATTTAACAATACCTACTGTCAATCAGACGAAAACGAAAGCTCGCCGAATGGTAAAGAAGAAAATACATAAAACACCTATTTGACTGATATAAGTCATCGAATGGCTTTATCCGAAAGAACAAAGCAACTTAGGGAGAAAATCGAACTAAGTCAACCTAAAACTCCTTTATTCCTCTACGAAGAAGCCAGCCGATGACTTAAGCCGGTAAAAAAAAGCGTTTTATGTATTCTCACCTTTACATTTAAACGACTGATTTTCATAATTCAATTTCTTTCAAATTCGAAACAAAGGTGCCTATACTTAGAGAAATATTTTCTGGCATACGTCAGCGGCGTTTTTTTTTTTTTTTTTTTTTTTTTTTTTTGAAAAAGACCAAAGGAATTAGGTAACAAATTCAACCTTTTTACTTTGTTCATTTACAAAAAAAAAGCCAGCCGATGACATATGCCAAAAAAAATCTCGATGTACCGGCATCTTTATTTAAAAACTTCCAGCCCAGTTGGGCTTGTAATTTAAAAGTTACCTCAACGTCTTTGGCCAATATCAATTAAGTTATTAAATCCAGCCAAATCTTAGCTGAGATGATGTTGTACAACTAGACCATGTGAAGCCACCTCTAGTTGAAGTTTGTCCGTTTACTCACTGTCGTTTTCATCGGCCGCCCTGAGTATGCAAATGCCTAAATTCTCCCACTATTGACAATCTGTCTGATGTCTCCACAGATATTTTGTGGATGTAGATCCTTGACCACGAAGCGATAGTTATAATGACTAGGTAGATATGATGGCAAGAGAAACTGTCAACAAGCAACCAATTGTATCACACAGTCAGTGAATCCATAGCGTACTGTTCGGAGCCATTAACTAAATTCGCCATTGGGATATTAGGATAAAAACACTGGACCTGCCCGAGTAGGCATTCGTAGTCAGAGCTGAAAATTGACTTAAAAAAAAAAACGTCGACTTTGGATTGTAAGTTAGACTTGTGCTTTTATGATGCGTAGTTTTGCCAACCAATGATGGAATCGGTTTTTTGACTATTTGATGGGGTAGAAAATCTTAATTGAAAACATGTTAATCGACCAAAATCTATGATGTCAAGATTGAAAATTTATTTCGTAAAGGGGGGCTTTGTTATTTTCATCACAGCAGAAAAATTAACTTTTTGATTTTTTATCGATTAGTCAAAAGTCGACTTACGAATCCCTAACATTGAGGGGGAACAGTGATGCGTTCATGGTAGAAGAATAAAGGTAGTCGCATAAACGCTTGGGAACTTTGATATATCCAAGATTTTAAGTGTAAGTAGATTTTTATAAGTTTTCCTATACGACGTCATTCGTAGGTTGTTATTTTATGCATTTTTTAACAATTTATACAAATTTGAATACATTTTCATTCAAAAATTTCAATTGCAAAATTAAAACAAGTCATTAAAAATGGCATTATTCATGGTAGGGATACGTAAATCGACTTTTGGCAAGTCTCAAAGCGGTAAAGATCGCAGCGTCTAATTTCTGTAATCAATTTTCAATTCTCAGTATCACAGATATTTTGTCAAATTGTTCTATCATTTCGATCATATCATCTTTTGACACATATACAAATGAAAAATTCTACATTCGAAATCGACTTAAGTCGACATTGATTTGAAAAATCAAAATCGAAAAGTCAATTTTTGTTGAAGGCAAAACTTGAGAAGCTCAAAAGTGTACTTTTTAAGACTACATATCCCTTATTCATAGCATGGAAGAATATTACAAGTAGACGCATCGACACATCTGCTGGGACATTGAACTGTCAAACCAATTTTTGAATTGACAATTTTGAATGAAAAATTTATCAAATTTGTAAAAATTGTTGAAAAATTCATATTATAACAACCTTAAGGTGGGAAAACATAAAGCGCTTATTTGGTTGGCTGATGACGTCGTCAGATGACGTTGACGTCGTATAGAAA